ACAATTTGATTTATGAAGGGACTTATGCTGCATTTGCAATGAGATGACTTTTTTTAAAGACAAAGACAAATCTGTTGCTCTTACATGAGAAAATGATTATTTAAACCTAATTTTATTTTATGACAAAGTTTTATTCAAACTTTATGCGCACTGAAAGCAAATGGTATTCCCCAGGTATTGAGGAGAATCATTTTACAACAAATACATTTCTAATGCAATTGTAGTTTATTTTATCACAAGGACCACACCGTACATATTCAAACTGACAGACTGTGCTAACCTGGCCCCGGTACATTACAGCTCAAGTGACACATGAATACGAAGTATCAGATGAAGGCAAGTTACAATGTGATGGTTACATTTTGTGTTAATCTCACTTTTCTCCCAGCATTTGTTTTTAGGGAGATGCATACAGTTGGATTTGCTGGTCTGCTGAAGCCATTTTGCACAAGGCGGTTTTAAAATGGTTAGAGATAATGGGTAGAGAATTTCCCTTCTGTAGTGTAACCAGAGTTAATGGGGGAAGGAGGGGATGTCAGATACTTGCAAGGGCAGGAGGGAGAACAGTGGAATGTGGTGGTCCGTTGTGGGCCTTATGCCACTGACTCAGGTAGAGTAGGCCCACCCCCTTGTTCTAACTTCCACCAGAGCAGGGGTCAAAGAGAATTAGAGGGCTGCAAACAACTCTCTCTGCAACTGCCACTCTCCTGTATATCCAAGCACAGCTGGAGAATCAAGGTCATGGTACTGATTATTACACACCGTGAATGAAAATAAAGACACAGTTTGCAAGTTTGGTATTGATTATTGCTCATTGTGTGACATGGACAGCCTCCCTCACTGCAAGGTAGTTTCTATTGGGTTTTTCTTACCTGTGGCTGCATTCCACGGCAAACAAACAATATCATGAATTCACAATGCTTATGTTTGCCTCAGAGCTCAGATTTTTGAACTGTATTTTTAAATGCTATGGGTCAGACCTTCAGCTGGTATAAATTGCTGTAGCTCCATGAACTCCAGTGGAGATTTATCAATTTACAGGATCTCAGGCTCTGGCCTGATTTGTACAGTTAGTTGTATTCTTTTATTTACTTTTTGTATTTTATTATTGAAATTCTATGGGACTCCTCAATAACTTGAGCAGTTTCGGAAAATTTTACCCATTGTCTTTTGGATGAAATGTAGAACATGGCCCTCGTTTGTGGTCAGTGCAGATGCCATGAAACTTTTCAATCCCTCCTTTAATGGTGGGTAATCATACTTTGCCTACATAGGTATGGCAAATGGCTCATAGCTAGGTCTCTTGACTCTGTCCTGGACCTCTTACTGAATCATTTGATTGCCTTGTATAAGTCACGTCTCGTTTCCCCATCTATCGGAAAGGAAATAATGATACTTTAGCCATGTTTTAAAAGCAGACAGAGGTCTACACCTGAATAAACACTACATCACTGAGTATTAAAATCTCCCATGTGCTTTCATTTCTGTAAATTATTCTTTACTTCCTAAACTTTTGTGAAGTCCTGCTGTGCTCTATTAGAATTTGTTTTGCTTCACCTTATACAATGTTGTACTTTTTGGAGTAAGAGTGATTCCTCGGTAGCTTGCACAATCAATGTTTGTGCATTGGGATCCATTTGGCTGAATGTGAAGGGAGAGCATTATCCTTATTTTACTTGCCCATCTGGTATAGACATGAAGGCTCATTAACTTCTGTGGGACTCTCATAGTCTCAGATGATAGTTTTTATGACAATACTAACCTTTTTGTTCCTATATATTACAAATGGAATTACTAGTAGGTGAGGAAAATGTGCACAGAGAATTAAATACAGATTGCAGCCCTTTATAGACAAGTGCTACCATATTCAGACATAGATGAAGCTTTTCAATCAGTTTGTCCTCTAAGTCCTCTAAAAGTCATATATTTATTTTTAAAAAGTCACACAAAGATTAAATAAGTCATATAACATGCTGCCGTTCCAGACCCTTTTTAATTTCTCTATGGATTAAATAAAGCCTGTGATAATATCTTTATCCTTATCTAGTATTTTATCACCGATTGTATTCAGGTGGTTGACCTTTCTTATGAGCTTCAATAAATCAGCAAATCCTATAGAATACTGTGAAGCATGACTGGTTATAGTCTAATAATTCTTCCCTCCCCCGCCCCCAATCCTCTTCAAATTCCAATGGGATAGTAAAGATTGTTGCTTTAACAGAATGTTAGTGCTAAAGGAGCTATCAGTGCCCTTCATTATCAATGTGTGTAAAAGGACAAGGATTTAAAGTCTTGACATTTTAGGTAATTTCTTCATAACACAATAGCTCTTTGAAAGTCTGAAATTCAATTCAACATGCTCCACTACCTGCATATGACCTTAAGTACAAGTTGTACAGCCTCATTTAGTCAGAATATCTTTAGACAACTCTACCTAAAATCACATACAGCTTGGGATCTGTCCTCTTCATATGGCACAGGCTTACCTTTCTATGCAGAATCTATGAACCCATGCCCAATAGCTATGCATTTGTCACTAGCCCCTAGCGGATTTACACAATGTTGAAAAACGTTGATCTACCAAGATAGAAGGGCAGACATCTTAAATTTGTACTGAGTCAAGCCTCTGGTAAGCCAATCAATGGCAACTTGTTTATGAGAAAATGCATGCCCAGTTTTTCTTGCATGCTAGATCTTGTGGGGGAGGGGAGAAGTTAGAAATGCATATAATATGTAGCACGGAATAGCTTTTCAGCCATGTGATTATAAACTGCTGGAATATACAAAAAATTGCAAACACTTTCAGTCTACATTCAAAGTATGACCTGAAAAGCCTATGCGGAAATGTAGTCATACACTAGCATTTGTGAAAACATTAACAAACAGGAACTGGACAAGATTTACATTTCATACTTACTGGTATTTAGCAGGTTTCAGATTGGTAGCTGTGTTAGTCTGTATCAGCAAAAACAACAAGGAGTACTTGTGGCACCTTATAGACTAAAATTTATTTGGGCATAAGCTTTCATGGGCTAAAACCCACTTCATCAGATGCATGGAGTGGAAAATACAGTAGGAAGAAACATATATATATAACAGTACACGAAAAGATGGGAGTTGCCATACTAACCACCCTCCATTACAATTCTTGCCAGGTAACTGGAGAAAACTCTTCCCACTTTACATCAAGTCTTAGGATAAAATTTTCAAAAGTGCCTAAGCGAGATACACTCCTAAGAGCCATTTTCAAGTGACTTAAGCCCTTAGCCCAGTGGAGCCCAAACTGTTCCTGTCTCCCCCACCCCTTCATTACTGCACAGTTGGCTCAGCAGTGGGGCTTGGGCTGAAGGTGGAGCTGGGGGCAGAACTGGGGATGCTTTCTAACAGAAAACTAGTTCCTGGCCTGTACTTTGGAACAAAAACATCAACAGCAAAACCAAGTTACTCTATTTCTTTAGGTCACCTAGCCCAGAGGATACACATTAGCGGTGAAAAAGCTCAGATTAGACAACGTTCAAATGCTCCTGGTTCATGTGATAGCACACATTTGAGACCATATTGTTGGGTTCATATCTAAGCCGAGTCTTTGCTCTGGCTCAAATGCACTTGATGCAGGACTTGAGCAAGAGCTGGAGCGATGGTGGCTTGACATCATTTTTATATTTCCCCCCATCCTGGAGCCAGTTGGTCCCTCTGCTTATCTTAGACATTCAAGATGCTTGTAACAGCTTTTAAGGCCCTTCATCAGGATTTCTCAAACTTCATTGCACTGTGACCCCCTCCTGGTGTGCTGGGGGCGGGGTGGTGGTGGGGGAGCAAAGCCGAAACCCAAGGCAGGGGGCTGTAACCTGAGCCCTGATGTCCAGGACTGAAGCTGTTGGGTTTAGTCTTTGGCCCCGGAAGAGTTGGGCTCACGCTTCAGCTTCGGCCCTGGGCAGTGGGGCTCGGGCTTTGGCCCCATTACATCTAAGCCAGCCCTGATGACCCCATTAAATGGGGTCACGACCCACAGTTTGAGAACCGCTGCCCTACATAATTTTGCCTCATCTTCCCTGGCCTTATCACGTCCTCATTCTCCTCCTCTCTGCTAATTCTGCCAGGCTTAACATACCATTTGTCTGCCTCTCCAATATTTGTCTCTGATCCTTTTTCCACACAGCTCCCTGTAGATGGCACTTTTCCTGAACTTATCTGCAAAGGCCATAGCTACCCTTTCCTCAAAACTCACTTCTTCCATGATGCCTTTCAAAAATTAGCTGCCTAAGTTATCTACTTATTTATCTAAACTCTCTGTTAATGAAAGATTTACTCCTTTAAATGGAGATAAACGGTGGAATGCTAGAAGAGAGGAAAACAAAAATTGGAATTGAAGCTAGGGACTACTTGGGTGGGTGGAAGCAAAGGGCTAAGGAGACCATCTTTTAAAAAGGCAAAAGTGGGACACCCTTGGCGGGGGTGGGGGGAGGAGAGGAGCAAAGGCAGGGCCTCATGGCAAGGGGGGCTAAGGCTGCCGGAAAGAGGACTGGTGCTGCCCCTGAGCCTCAGGCAGGTACTGGAGGGAATCCGGGCCAAATGCTTTCCTGGAGTCATTCAGCCTGGGACCGGGATTTGAACTCTGCATTTCGGAACTGTCCCACCCAATTCAGGATGGGTGGTCATCCTAAAAGGGCTGATGGAGGAGGGGAAGGGAGTAAGGGAGGAGGGACTTTAGTGTTTCATTTAATCCCCCCCCTCAAAAACAAACAAAAATAAAACCAGTAAAACTACTGAGCCACATGTGTACCATTTTGCTTATATATTGTATGACTATCTTACACCTTTTGTCCTTCTTTGCCTTTTCAGTCTGCACGCTCTTTGAACTGGAAACAGGGTCCTCTGTATTTTGGACCACACCTAGGGCATTTTGGATGCCAACACAATCTAAATAATAAATACAAAACTGAATGCTATCTTTCCTTCCCCACCCAAGCACCACCCAAAAACATGATCCTAGGCATTTGTTTTGAAATATATTTGAAAGAGTTTTATTTTTTGCAAATGTTTGCAAGCAATGAGATTTTCTGAAAACTTGTTTAAAAAGGCAGACAAAGGAACAGTTAAAGCAGAGCGTGTTACCCTACCTGCAACCTTACAAAGAAATTTTAACAGAGTCAGATGAAAAACAGGTGGATGAACAAAATGTTTCATGTACAAAAATAGCATTATTATAAAATAAAAGATATAGAACTCCAAAACACTTTAGAACAAAAATAGCTACATGCAACAGAAAACATTTTATTATGGTTCTGTTTATGCATCAAAATTGAACAGAAATTTTGAAATCTTGATATTTGTTAGTGAAATGCACTGTCAGATCAATGAGGTGTCTTAGTGCTACTGCAATAATGACTTTAAAAGAAGCAACTGAATGAAGCTGAAACAACTGTTTTCATGATGTTTACTGATTTGTTTAGTACTTGGCTCTCAGAAGTATGTAATCTCTGTATTTGAATAATTTACTGATAACAGCTGACAATCCTAACATTGTAGTAGTTTTTCCCCAGAAAGAAACCCCATTTTTCTAAACATAGAAAATTTTAACTAATGTACAGAACCTTTTACAATTCTACATCTATGCTATAAAATACATACTGTACATATTAACGATCCCTACAGTTGTAGTTTTTTAATGGCTAGGTGTCCCACAACAGAGTTTATCTTCTTTGCAATTAACCTGAATCACACATGTTTTTAACTTAGAAAATGTCATGAACTTTGTAATGGCAAACATTACACAGAAGTTTAGGCAGAGTGAAAAACAACATTAAGATACTGCTAAATTAACTTCTTAGTGATCTCTCTTGATTATAATAGTTTTACATTTTTATATATGCACAATACCAAAAATATGCCTATTTCATGCTAAAATATTGTCTCATCTTTTTAGTTGAGGCAATCTGATACAGACCTAGCCAAAAATAAAAGCACACTATTAGGTTTGATGATAGCCGAAGACAACATCCTTTTTGAAAAATCACTCACCACAATTCAGTGAATGTTAACAGTGAATGACATGATTTTCAAAAGTGCTAGGCATCCACAAAGCTCAGTAATGTCAATAGGAACTTCAGGTGCTTAGTATCTTTGGGGAAAAAAAAATCAAACTAAGTTAGAAAAAAATTAATATGATTTCAATGAGTATAGTACAGATAATTCACAGACTCTTGCTCTTTTCACACTAGTGCTTAACATTTAATTCTTTTGAAAGCTGATTCTAAAAAAACAAACAGAATCTAGAATGCTTTAAGAAAATGAATCATCTTTCACTCTCTATTTGTTCAGAATTATGTTTAAGCTAGTATTGCTTTTCACAGCTCACTGATAAATTAAGAATTTGCAGAATAAAGTGAAATTTGATTTTACAGATGTATATGGGATAACAAAAAACATCATAGAAGCACAGAGGTAGAAGGCTTCAAGGAATTAAACCTGAGTTACACCATCATTACTCTCTAGATACCTAACATAATAAAGTTTTCTAATATCCTTTCAGCATATAACATCTTGTATCATTTGAAAATCTTTTTTTGGCTGCAGTACAACACAAACCATGGCATTATCAGTAAAGTCAGTTGCTTGTCTCTTAAAGATATTTGTCCTTATTCCTTTACTGGAGTAACATATTAATGCTACATACAATAAACAAGCATGGTATGTGGGGATGGATGAAGCATTTCATAAATATAATCTTAAGCATTTTAGTATAATTTTCCTTTAACAGTACAAGTAACCACACATACAGGATCTCTAAGATTTACTTTGAACAAATAAAGAGTGAACAGAAGAGCCTCACAAGGAAAAATATATATATATATATATAATAGAAATCTGTCATCTTCAGATTCTACCATCAAAGTGCATTCTGAAAAAATAGCAAAAGCTGCACCCTTTTTGGCACCCTTTTCTGTAGCACAGTGTCTCATAAAAACAAACCTGCCTTTGATTTCTGCTTTATTTAGAAACATTCCCCCTTTATCAGGAAAGGATGATGATAAATGCACAGCCTTTCACTTATGATATGCAAACATAAAAAGCAGTAAAGGTATCCTGCGTTTCCCTAGTCAAAATATAGATGTGAGCAATTTCCAATGTGAAGTATTTCACAGATTACTTCACCAAACTTTAGGCATGTATACAAGGTAAATTAAACTTCAGAAGGAAATTGTTTAAAAAAATGTAAACCTATTTAATTTTATTGACTGAAATTTACTAATGTATTATGGAAACAAATGACAATATATTGTATGCACTGGAATCAACCTGTACATTTTATATTAATAATTTAGTTTTTAAACGATTGCTAATCAACATGTCAAACATGCTAAGTATATGACATAACTGTTAAGGACAAAACAATTAATACAGGATTCCTTTAAAAAGGAATTGTATACAGTAGTTGCTTTAGCAGCAGATATCAGTAAGTGCTTGGCTTCTACCATTTAGAGCACCGCTACCAGGATGACATTAACCAATGAAACATCAATCAGTACAGAGGTTTAGACCTGACACGCTCTTTGATACTTGTTTAGGCAAACATTTGAAAAACAAACAGTGTGAACGTGGAATATTTCATATAGTTAGAAACAAGGATTTCTCAGCAAAATATACTTGAAGTATACTAATAGCCAATATCCCACAAACAAAATTTGATATTTACCATCATACATAAATTGTATGACTCAAATACTGTTTAATAGTACTTTTTTTTGCATATCTTTTACCTTAATTCAATAGCAGTAAATATCTTCTTTAATTATACGGTGGCAAGTTTGAGTAATCTGTTTCAGCATTTATCTGACATTCCTAGAATCAGATGCATTTGCTGGTCTCTCACTGTACTTCTCTTCCCAGTTGTCAAATTTTAAGACACAACCTTCAATTCCCAGTGTATCTGGAAACAACAGTACCTTGTCTGTGTACCAAACCCAAAATGTAACGATACTTGTCTTTTTCTTTGCTTTCGTTTAAAAAAAAACTTATTTAAGCAAGCATCAGAAGCAGCACTGACCACGTTCAATTGAGAGACACTGGCGGCTGCTAATTCATTCCAAAAACAGGTTACTAGATTACAGGCAAAGTAATGGTGTTCTATCGTTGCCTGAGCCATCTTCTGGAATTCTAGGCAGGAGAGCAGATCGGGTCAATCCCCAGAATTTTTGAGGAGTGAGATCTTTTTTAGCAGCTGTGAACTTCCACCCCATGTGATTCCCACAAATTCTGCACTGGGCTATAGTCCATGCATACCTAAAAAAAAAAAAAGTGTTTTGGCAGGAGTCACATCATTCATGAGAACATTTTAATGGAACTGGAACACAGTTAAAGAAGGAAGAAAATATCAGTTTTAGTTTGGGATTTTCAAATGGGTTAATGGATTCAGGCACCCAATTCTCATTGATTTTTCAATAGGACTTGGACACCAAACTCCCTACGTCTCTTTGAAAAATCTCAGCCTTCAAGATTATTACATTGTCTACAAAAAGTAGAATAATAAAAGCATTTTATTTCAGTATATATTTCAGTAACATGATTAATTATTGTGTGCCAATACAGGAGTCTCAAAATGCTTATCATAATAAACTTAAGCTATAAGGGTTTTAAGGATCTATTTAAAGGAGAATATTAAATCCATCAGCAACCCCAAAAAATCAAAGAATGAGGCAAATTGTATGTGAATTATGACGGCCTTACAGGTGCAAGTTTTTTTTTGTTTTTGTTTTTTTTAATTATTCTAAAATATGCTTGTCTATTCAAACCAAAAGCTTAAATGATTGTGGGAGAGATGGGCGGCAACTTTAAGGGAAACTAAACTTCAGTTGGAAGAAAGGATCATAGTAGTTGCTTAATAAAATAACAGATAAAGGACTGAACCTCCCTCCTCCCCTCCCCCCCCCACACAAAATCGCACCACACCCAAAAGGTCACATCCCGAGGTTTTATAGGGGAGAGCTCAGGACAAGGCTGGTTGCACAAGTACAAGCTGGCATCAACCTTTCAAATGTGTACTATCTAAAAGAATTCATTACTGTAATTTTATCTTAATTGATATCACTTCACCTTACCAAAACTTGTTCTGTGGAATAACCTTCTTTTGAAATAGTCCACGCAGAAACCATGAACAACTTTGACTGCTCTAAATTTGTTCCGTTTCCACTTTGATTCTTGGCAGGATCTGAGATAGTTCCTGCACTTGTACATTTTGTTCTCCTCCTTGCCCTCTATCTCCTTCAAGTTAGAAAAACGGGATTTATTTGCATCTTTCACCTGCCGAAGTGTACACACTTTTTAAAGGGCTCAGAACTCAAATAGCTTAAAAATTAGGTTATTATTCCAGCAGTGCTACAGGTGCTAAGGAGTTTATTTATAAAATGGTTCAGGAATAAACTAACAAAATTAGGTTACTGTTCCAGCAGTGCACTATACACACTAAAGAGATTACTTCTAAAATAAATAAATTCAGAAATAAATACCTTTGTTATTTTGAAAAATAAGTATTTTACTTCCTCAAACAGCAGAATGATATCACTGCAGATTTAAATAAGTATCTGGATAAGGTAATATTTCTATTTTTCAATTATTATTAAAGCATAGCTGACAGTTCATGGATTTTTTAAAAATATTGTATATAGGAACACCACCACGTAGGCATCACGTTTTCTGTATTTGCCTCTAAATTTTTTATCACCAAAGATAGCTGCAGAGAAACAATATGGCTTTTTTCAGAATTCATCTGTTTATGCTGTACAATTCCCCGTTTAAAATTATAAACTTCTGTTTGTGTTTTTTTGTAAGGACAAGACTGATCCCTACAGAATTAATTAATTTATGTTTTCCATAAACTTGTCTATGTCACAGACAGAGAAACTCTTAGGAAATAAATATCCCACTTATCTGCTCCAGAAGCTGGATTGTGTCTAAATATATTATTTAAAGTTTTCTATTTTATTTTAAAAGGTGGGTATTCAAAATCTCCAACCTACTTAAGAAGCTACTAGTCCAGTTATATGGTTTAATATAGGAAATTTCCTTGTAATTTTTTTAGACAAGATGAGTAACATGACATGGTCTGAAATTATAAATACGCTAAATATTCTGCTTGGCATTTTGCATCAACTACACTTGTAGGGAGGGTAGGGAAGGAGCTTCAAAGATAAACTGAGGAGATTGAGGGAGAACAGAAGTAAATTACACATAATCCTTTTCAAAGATCTATCAGATATTTGATAGTGAGAAGTCAGAAGTCAGTATTAAAGTGTGCACCACTTAACGTTTCTAATATGAATAAAATCTATACAAATCTATACATTTTAGTCCATGAAAGACAGAATTCCCAACCACAAGCAATATAAACAACCAAAATAGTTTAAAACAAGGTCCTCAGATTAGTAAATAAATCTCTGGTCATAACGAGAGACATTCACAGTTTACTATGTGGAAAGTTGTAGGGTTGGAGATTACATACTGAAGACAATTCAAACTGGGGATGGAGGAGGGAGGGAAGAAGCAACAGTAGTATCATCCTGGAGACTGAAATGTTTTTAAAAAGAATGAAAGACGTGATCCCATAGCTAACAGATTTTAAGATGATTGTTAATGTCACCCGACACTTTAGCTGCTGGTTCTTTCTCCATCTGTGTGAAAGACTGGAAGCCCTTTGGGGACAGAGTGTCTATTTTACAATGAGGCCCTGATACCTGATTGGGGTCATTTGGTACTACTACAATACAAATGATAACACTTCCTGTTATATATAGTTATTTATCAAGATACTAGTTGGGTAATTAAAAGAGAATTATTCAAAAACAACTTTTAAAATATGGCAAAATCTATGTACAACTTTAAAGGCACAAGAGAATTCTGAATACATTTTATCTAACTTCTCCAATTTATTTTAGATTAAGAAGGAATACTAAATTTACTTTTTTCTTCATTTACAGTAGTTGAATGATCATTTTTAAGAGTTTAGAAAATAATGTAATGTCTGCTTCTCAGTGTTTGCAGGCCAGAATGCATTTAAATCAGAATTATTAATTTCTATTATTTGCTAATAAGATTTCTGAACTGTATTTTGTAATACTGGAGTACATTATTAGTAGAAAGAAATACTGTTTTACCCAGGAAACCAACTGTGCTCTGTAGAAGGTCGGCCACTCAGATTCAAGTTGCAGGCTTTGTACACTGTAAGGGTCTCATGGACATACCCATGAGGATTCACATATGCTGCCATAGGTCCGCACAAGGATAAACTACAATGGATAAATAAGAACCAGTTATGTACTTTGATAGTTTCTCAAGACATACATCAAAAAGGAAAACAGGGCTGAAAAGTGTTCATAAAATTAAAACAACTCTAATTAGAAAATGAATAGAGGAAGCAAACTGCCAAACACTTCAAAATATTTTGCATAAAAAGAAGTCTAATATGCTTGTAGACAAGATTTATTGAGTTAAAGTATTAAAAAATGGAATAAAAATAGGTATGTGCACCTTTATTACATGAGATAACGTCACAATAATTTTCCAAACTTTGTATAAATGTAGGGTCTGATCCTATTATCCCTTACTCAGAGTTAGTAATCTTTACTAACATGAGCAACTCCTGCTGACTACTTCCTAAAGCTCTGTTTCAGGAAAGGCACTTAAGCAAGTGCTTATATGCTTTCCTGAATATTATAAACGCATGCTTAAGTGCATTCCTGAATTAGGGCCTAAGTGTTTCTTAAAGGTGACAAGTTAATAACTGCAGGCCTGATGGAATGTTGGCATGGAAAATACCTCATTTGGAGTGGGTGATGGTCTTTACCTCAGCAATATGTAATTAAGGGCTAATCTACACTAACGCAGTAAGTTTACCTAAGTAACGCTACTTCAGTTACGTGAATAACGTAACTGAAGTTGACGTAGCTTAGGTCGATTTACCACGGTGTCTACATTGTGCTGTGTCGACAGGAGACGCTCTCCCGCTGACTTTCCTTACTCTTCTCAGGGATCTGGAGTACCAGAGTCGACGGGAGAGTGCTCTCCCATTAACTTAATCGACACCGCTGTATTGATCGCAGCAGTGCCGATCTACTGGTAAGTGTAGACATGGCCTTAGTGTAAACAAAATACAGGATAATTTGCCATTTACTTTTACTTGCCTCCACTGAGTAAAAACTTACAATGAAAACAAATAGCAACACTACTCAGCCTCTTAATTCTACCTTTAAAATTGAGCAGTCAGCAAAAATGAGCATTTATTGTCACACTATTGTCTCAATTTCAAAAAAGGAGTTAAAAAAGACACCCCACAAATGAACAACATAGCAGCAGCTTCTATCGTTTAGATAATTACTACAGCTGCTTATCACACAGATAAAACAAAACAAAACAAAAATATTACTATGAAGAGTCTTTGTTAAGCCAAGAAATCTTCTAACTTTCATATCATCATAGGTGACAGATAGATATTAGCAAAAAGAACA